GACTACGATTCCCTTTCCACCAGAGCCCGGGCATCCGACCCAAGATCTGACTGGCCAACTTGCTCACGCCAATAGCGCCAATAGCATTCATAATCATCCATCCCCAGCACAAGGGCAGAGTTCACGCACCAGACCCGAAGACGTGGCAGGTCAGGGGCGCAATCCAGAGCTACACATTCCGAGGGAGACTTGGATTAATAAGCGTCGTTAGGAGATCGGGGATAGTAACTAAACCGTTGACGATGTGTGGCAGCCCATCCGTCAGTCCGTAGGTTTTTTCGGCTGGTGGTTAAAAGGTGATCAAGGTATCATCGCGATTTGCTTGCTGGGTCACAGCAGTGGAGACTACTATTTTGGATCACCACAGTGGCCAGAGCGACGCCACGGTTTTCAGTCTCGCGGCCGCGCTGCAGGCCCAGCACTGCCATTCAGGTACGTGCACCCGCCCAACAAGGTACGCCACTTTCCACTGCGCGACCGCATTACGAACTGGTGGCAGCAAGCACACACTGTGGTGGAACAGTTGCACAAGCATCGGTAAAACAAAAAAATTGAGAAGAAACAGCAAGAAACATTGGCGCACGCACGTTGGAGACCCAGCTCGGACTCCCCAGACGGTGTACACTCCATCTTGATGTTGCCGATCCGATCTGAGGCACTTGGCGAAGTGGGTTGGCATGCACATCACAGGCGCAAGCTGCAGTGCTACAGAGGTTGACCAACGCAGCTGCAAGACTGGCCAGTCTGGCCAAGGAGAGAGCCCTCACACAGTCCTTGCAGGCATCCCAAGAGTGGGTCAACACCAGCGACGGCGCGAGCATTTGACTCACCAGAGCCGAACACAGAAATCAGGTCATAACATGTTGTATCACCCCGTGGGCGCGGTTCACATGCAGCTGCCCAGTTTCAAAGATTATGAACCCCAGCCATTGTTTACAGGGGCAGTGTCATTGAGTTGTTCCGTCGCCTTCGCATTGAAGCTGAGGTTGAAGAACTGCCAGACATCACAGTGCGAGACTTGGACCACGTTTTCAGGCGCGTTAAGCCGAAGGCTGGGCCGGGGGCTGATTGCCTGGCTGCTTTAGGCGTCCAACAGTTGCTAGATGATGGAAGGCATGAGTTTTTCAAGATCCTCCATTTTACCGAACGGAAGCTCACATGGCCGTGGCATGTGCCCATCAACATGGGCAGGTTACGACCGAAGAAAGCAAGGGCAGCACAATTATCTGATTATTGTGCAAGACGTGCCGCATTTGGTTTTTGATCAGGGAAAGCCACGTCAAACCTTGGGCTGTGGATGGGGCCGCCCAGTGGGACGCGGCCCTCGCAGGCAACTCTGCGCTGCGAGGGGTTTTCCTCGGGGCGCTGCATGAGGAGGTACACGGATACTTGAGCACCCAACTAAACACTCTCAATTCTGGACATACAGTTCTTTCATAATACAGTGCGCTGGGATGGCCCTGCTGAAGCAGCGTTGAGCCCCAGATTTCCTTCCGTGGCACTGGCGTTGGAATTGCAGTTGCGCGCGGCGGCGCGCGCGCCGACGCAGCTCGGGCCCGCGACGCGTGCTTTTCAGGTCGCGCAGTCAATGGCGCAGGGGTTGCGCCGCGAAGCGGGATTTGGGAAGCGTTGCGCGCGCTTCGTCCTTGAGAGGCTCACCGCGGCGCGCCCTCGCGTCGCGGCGCGCATCTGGGCGGGCGACCTCAGCGAGTCCACGGCGGGCTCAGGGCGGTCGGTAATTCGCGCCATGGCCGGCTCCATCTCTGATGCGTTCGAGTTTTTGGCTCGAGCTCGCTTAGCAGTGGCCGCCAAGGCGTCGCGTTGGCTTCAAGACATGGCTCGGCCAAAGCGATCACGGCAGCACGACGCGAGGGGGGGCGTCGACAGCTGACAGCCCCACAAGTGCCATGCCTGGGCATGGATTTACCAGCTGGGAAAAGGCAGGGCAGATCAACGCAGAGACAGCGGGCGGCGAAGTCCAGCTGGAGACACGCAAATATATCCAGGTAGGCAGGAGGGGGCTCACAGCATGAGATCACGCCCCGGCTAGAACGAGTCAGCGCCCAGACCGTAGCGCGCAGCAGTCGTCGAGTTTTCCGCGCGCGCGGATGCGATGCACATCCTTTGCGAAGCAGGCTTGCGGCTGTTTGCGGGGCTAGCAAGCGCGGGGGGTGCACAGCCGCCACCTTAGACTCACGGCCGCCAGGCCAAGATCCAGCAATCAAGATCGGACGGGAACGCCTGGCAGCGTGGTTGAAGTTGCGGGTGGCGAACCTTTCAAGTTGGCCATCGGCGCATAGGGCGCGGGCAGGTGCGGCTGGCAAGCCGCGCGTTAGCGACCGCGCAAAGAGAGATCCAGACATGTTCGTGGGCCCATGAGCGCAGTCATCACGCTTATTTTGCTGCGCGGGTGGGATCCAATCGCGCCCTCGCGATGGCGCCCCCCAGGTGGAGGGTGCAACGGCGAGGTCATCGAGTGGGCGTTTCCAGATGAACAGAT